CTCCTAAATCACTCGTACGCACAATTTAAGAACAAATCTGTGCGTACGAACGGTTCTTGCATGAGGCCCAATATTTATATGTTCACAGTAATCAAAAAGCCTAATTGGAAATCAAACAATTCATATTTTTGACACATGAAACTGCAGAGTAAATTGGGGATGTGAAGATGAGCCAGTTTCTACTGGTTCACTGAAACACGACTTGACTAGATCTTAACTGGTAGATTTTGTACCTTCGCAGTGTTAAGATTAGCACTGATTCTGTTGGTTCTACCAGATCAGTTTATTGACTAAACTAAAAGTCTGCAAGCAGGTTTATTTCTACAGACAACCACTGTAMAAGTAGCAAAAAAGTACAAAAAAAATTGTTATATTTGTGTAGGAAGTTGTTCTTTTACTGAACAACTACTTGGCTGCAATTTTTGCCGTATATCAATAGTTTTTTTTGTTTTTTTTACTGGTGACTCATACTGTTTAGGAACACAACTGTAGTAATCCCAGACGAAACAGCAACAGACATTCAGTTTGCTTGACAATGACCATGTGAACCAACTAATATTTTAGGAAAAATCAAATGTTGACCTATGTTTTATTATTTACAATGTGAAAATGCCTATTGCTGCTCACTGCTGAGTTCCTGAAAAAAAATTAAACACATTCTCAGACTGGACACTTTTTTTTTACTTTGTACTAGGCCATTTTTCTCTATATTTTGAAAATTGTTATACAGGTTTCATGAAAATGTCTTTTCATGTTTAACAAGACCTGTTTAAAAGCAGTGGTTCTAATTAGTTAGTAAAAAATTCTGCTTTAGTATTGAATTTAATCTGTTGAATCAAAACTCATACAGCATTAAATCTCATTGTATTGTGATTAAAAGCTGAATCGTATTGTTCATACAAACTGAATAAAATTGTGATTATTAACTGAACAGTATTAAGACTGAATCTGAATAAAGACCAATTTAATTTGTAATAAAAGATTGAATCATATTGGGATTATAGGCTTGTTTTGTAAATAAATATTAAAGCATATAACGATTAGGGGCTGAATCATATCATGTTGAATCAATTTTTGCTTCTCACCTATATTTAATGAATTGTATTGTCAGCAGTACCGTGAGACCACGCAGGCTATAACCCTACTGTTCTTTAAAGTGGGGTACAGTATTATGTATTTTCCAGGCACATAGTTCAATTCTATACCATAATCAAGTAACAATGTTACCTTCAGTCGTGATGAAAACACTATATATCAAAAATAAATTTGACCTGGCATCATAGTCTATCTAAAAACCTAGAAATTGGCCTCTGTCTCTTTAAGAACCTACTACTGTTTCTGACATTCCCACTTCAGCATGTCTTCACAACAATGCTCTGTGGGATGGTTTTGATGAGAGAATGACATAACATGATATAAAGCTCAAAAACATAAATTTTGCATAATACTAACCCTTTAATTTAGACAGTATTAAAAATTTTTTAGAACTTCATCATCTGTAATGTTCGTCATTTGTTTTTACAGAAACAGTGCAGTAATATACAGTAGCTCCCATATAAGATACTGTATTGATCTAAATTAAAAAAATTTAATGCTGCAGATTTAGATGAGCAGAAGGAAGCATATGGTGTGAAGTTTTTTGGGTATAACACCAAGCTTTAGTACGCAGTTCCATGGGTTGCTTCTAGTTGTGATTGGAAATCAAATAGTGTTGTTTATCTTTATTTATTGCTCTTGTGCTATGTGGGAAGAATAGCTTTCATTTCTCTCTCTGCAGACCTGATAGTATTTGCACTGCTGGCAAATGAATAGCAGAGAATAAAAACTGTTTAGATCCAAACAAACACAAGAATCACCACCCAAAAATGGGAATTCAACATATTTTTTTGTAGCGCCCATTGCTTTTTCCTAACTTGTGCTTCTGTTTGCTTGTGTATTTGTCTCAGGTCTCCCTTTGCCAGCGTGACAGAGTATTCATTACTGAAGAACAACATTGTGCAGCTCTGCTTAGAGCTGACCACCATCGTCCAACAGGTGCTTTCACACACTCGGTGCAAACATGAATATCGGCGGTGGTTTCGACAGCAAAGCCACGGAACGTGTTTATGAACGGAGCTGGCAGAGTCGCGAGCACATGTTTGAATCATGAGCTAACATGACCTTATTGATTCCACTCTCCAACCCACAGCTCTGATGGGCCCATCATTTCCTGTCCTCCTTTTGCTCGCTCCCTCGTGCTTCACCACACAGCGCACACACAGACACATGTGCAGCCTTMAAAACAAATAAYTAAATCTGCTGCTGCATGCACACACTCTGGCTATGTAGCCATCTCATTCTTTGGCTGAAAACTCAGTCTGCTCTCTGGTAAGAGTCTTGCTTAGAGTGTGTGTGACGGTGTGTTTGTGCCCAGAGTGAGTCCTGGAGCTAAGCAGATAACACCCATCCCCTCTTACACGGGCCAGAGGAGACTGAATTAAAAAGGGGCCACCGTGGGTTCACAAAAGGCCAAATAAACCTGTGGCTGCCAGGGTGTAGCGAGACAGACAAAGATGGCAGCAGTGCCTGCACTAATGCATCAAACAAATGTTTGCCTCCTACCCTGCCCATCTGGATTGAGAGGGCTTCTTTTCTGGACCAGTATTAACGTCCATAAATTGCTGAAAAGCAATCTGTCTCTTTGAAATAATTTTGTATCCAAATCTGGAGGAGGAAGCTTGTGAAGCTCCAGGGAGCAAAACTGGTCGATCCGGTGTTGGTTTGTCCATGATGCAGACAAAGTTGGAGAGAAAAGAGCTGACTGCTCATATTCTCAAACGTCTCGTTTCTGTTCTTCTTTATTGCATGTTAAATTTGGAGCAGAGGGATGTCAAAGCTTGTGTGCAGATGTTTGCATCAATGCTTTTCTRTTTCAGTAATTCTTTGTCCTTCTGCCCTCGTGTCCGTTCACAGGACTGCACAGTGTACGAGACGGAGAATAAGATTCTTCACGTGGTAAGTGCTTGATCTGGCCTGCGTATTCACYATGATCACAAACTGTTGGAGTGTTTYTATCAGGTGTCATTTGTACCAACATTTTTACATAAGCTGGTTTATATTTAAATGGTAAACGGACTGGCCTTATGTAGCACTTTATCAAAACCCACAGCGCTTTACACTGTCATTCACCCGTTCACACACTGATGGTGGTAAGCTACATTGTAGCCACAGCTGCCCTGTGACAGAGGTGGGGTTGCCATGCACCGGTGCCATCAGACCCTCTGACCACCATCAGTAAGCAAGCGGGTGAAGTGTCTTGCCCTAGGACACAACGGCTGAGATGGCTGGAACGTATTGAAATTTAAAGGAGACATATCATGCAAAATCCACTTTTTTAATAGTTAAATGCATTTTGTTGTTTACTTGGAGTCTCTAGGAGTGAAGAAATTTTTAATTTAGTCTGTCTCTGTGCTGCATAGATATAGTTATATTCTGTTTTTTTTCCATTTGTTTAGTTTTCTCTATTTTCTATGATGTTTTCTGAACTATTACGTCAAATTATTTGCAACGGAACTGCCGTATAAGGTCTGGACCAACCAACAACAATTTGGTCATTTTCATTCTCCTGTCTCTCTGGGTCAGACTCTGGCTCCAACATGTAAGACTGGATTGGACAAGTCTTTGACATCTTTTAATTAATTTGTAAATAAAATGTTTCCGCACTGCTATATACAGCGGGTAAAATAAGTATTGAACACGTCACCATTTTTCTCAGTAAATATATTACTAGAGGTGCTAATGACATGAAATTTTCACC